CCAGGCTGCTGCTGCGGAGGCCCACACACCCACTTATCCATCACAGCCTGGTTGATCTGGCACCTGGTGAAGATACTTGTGCACAACCTTACTTGACCTTACACCCTATCACATACTTAAATCTAAGTACTTAAGTCACCCACCATTGTCATTACCACCTACATCAACCACTTGCCCACTGTACACACACCTGCCCACCCAGTCATCCACTGTCCAATCACCACCCACACTGGGCAGCTGACAGCTACACCTTCCACCCACACCACTTTCCCATAGCTCCAAGCCCACTCTCACACCTTACCCATGCTCTCATTCACAACACTCCCTCACAGCTTCAAGCCCACACAGCCCCACACCCACACCTTACTCATGCTTTCATGGCTTACACCCCCTATCATGCCATCCCCACACCTAGTCACTAGCCACTCACCACACTCATTACTGCCCACACCACCAACCTCACACTCATCCACCATCCGCACTAAGTCGCCAACACTGCTACCCACATGGCGATCACCATACTGCCTCGTTTGCTTCCAGCCTCCATTCCCACACCACACAGCATCCTCCACTTCCCAACACCAGCCTCCAGTTCCTGCCCCTCCTCCCACACTGTTCAGTCTACATCTCCCACACCAAACCCACTCACCTCAACTGCTCAAACCCCTCCCATGTACACCCTAATCACTCTGACCCCTCCTTTTTGGCCCTCTACAGTAAGAACTAATTGAATAAAAATGTATCACTGTCTGCTAGCAGAGATGTGGTTGCAGGATATTTGATACACATCACACATGGACCAATAATTACATCATCATTGGTTTTTATAATTTTAAATTAAAAAACTTGAGTGACTTTTTTTGGAAGTTCTAATGAACATAACCCTATTTGTCCCATATATTCTTCAGTTTAGTTAACATGCATTTTTTATTTCACGCTGCTTTCTGAAACGTAACTACTGTGTTAGTCAATGGTCAACTGTATTTAATTTAGGGGGCTTCAGCCCCCATGATGCTATGTCCTCATTGATTATAGGAATACAGATTATCACTTGGTCAGTAATGCTTAGGCATGGAATTGAAAAAAGGTATATATAGGGATGAAAATGGTCTCTGAGTGCTTCTTAATTAATTTTCTACTGTGGTAATTAACATGCACCATCGTTCTCCATTATTACTTTTTCTTTTCTCTTAGATATTAACTTTATACAACTTACTGGCAGTGCTCACATACACAAACATTAGTTTTGACAGGCTGCCCAAATTCTGTGAACCAATCTTTTGCTAACACCTTAGCACTCTTAACCAAATTATGTGTAAATGTAACATGTTCATGTATGTCATATTATTAATGGTATATAATACCAATAGATTGATGAATAAGATACATGTGCAACACCTGGGTGTCGTTTCACATGCTTTGTAGGCAAAACATTTCAGAAATAAAGATACCAAAGTGTTGTATATGTCTTATTCATCAAGGTATCTATATTGCATACCATTAATGATACATGTACTTGTCTGACACAAACACCATGGTATCTTGGTAAAGAGGATATATTCTACAACTCCATTGCCAAACATTTTGTTGGCATAAACTACTGCCATTAGCAGGCTTTGCTCACTTACAATAACATTTCCAACTGCTGCACTTCATTTCTGACTCTAGTATGCAAGTCTCAATCCTTTTGCCTCTGCTTTAGACTAGGGGACTAATCACCTCCTGTAAAGGCTAAGGGACTGATCGCCTTCTGTGAAGGCTAGAAACTGAACAATTTAAATTACCTCTCCACTATCTCCATCATAAAAGACACCCTCATATTCACCTGGAGGTGAAATATTTCAGCAATAAAGATACCTAAATGTTGCATGTGTGTCTTATTCATGTCAGGGTGTCTTAAAATATAACAGAATCTTGATATAAATTTGCAAATTTTGTCCCTGGGAACACTGCAGCAATTTTTGTATAATAGTGTTAAAATATATCAATAATTTAATTAATAACTAGTTATGGTAATTAACAGGTAAAAGTAATGTAGGCTACCATGTGTCATTATTATATTACATGTAAACACTCTTAGTATCTTACATGTTGAGCAAACTTAAATTCATCACAGGTTTTCAATATTAGTAAAATTAAGTTCCTAAATACTTTTATTATTTCTATAACTTAAGTTCACTAGTACAATGTGTACAAGTGTGCTCAAAATATTCAGGAATGTAGCAGAGTAGAAACTTAATAAATAGGAAAGTGCTAGTCAGTCAAGACACCCTCACTCACTTGGTAACATTCATAATTTTTTTCTTTTAATCTCATACAGTTGTAGATATACCAGAAGACATAAATGTTCAAGCAGTTACCATGTTGAGAAGAGTGTGGTGTGGTTGAGTATACTTGATAAGCACCTCCTTTAGCTGGCAAGAAAGGGTGACATTTCTGGATTGATAGTCAATTCTGGGAATAACTCATCCAGCACAGCATCAAGCAGAACATATGATAGCTGAAAAAAAATAATTTGCCTTAAACATACTTTTTTAGATGCTCATAGTCAACAATTATTTATTTTTAAAAATAATTAGAATATTAATGTAATACTTAAACTCTACATCAAAGTCACAGGTTTCCATATTTCTGTGTAACTGTGATACAGTGGTACCCAGAGTCTCGGCCATAATTTGTTCCAGAAGGCTGTTCGAGTGCCGTTACAGAATGAATTTGTTCCCATAAAGAATAATGTAAATTAGATTAGTCCATTTCAGACCCCCAAAAATACACTTACAAAAGTACTTACAATAATACACTTACATAATTGTTTGAGTTGGGAGCTGTACAAAACCCAGGGTACCACTGTACCTTGTTCTATGTGGTAACTTTCATATCTTGAAGGCCTGGCTTCATGTATGATCAATACATTTCAACTGCCTTCACTTATTGATATTTTTTAAAGGTGCACTTGAAATTCATGTTCAAGAATTCTACACACAGTATCTCCGTGCTATCTTGGTATAGATGGTATAGTCATCCCTTGAGTTACACTGGCCTGGTGTTACTATAATTTTGAGTTAAGATCAGACCTCATAAAGGAATTTAGATTTGAGTTGCAATGAAAAATTTGAGATACAATAGGCATTTGTGATTTAATTGTGTCATCTTTTGTACAGTCCCCATCCCTTTATCCAAAATTCTGAAATTCGAAAAGTTCCGAAAACCGAAGTTTTTTCATGGAGTGTGGAGCATCAGTTATCTCTACATAACTCCAACACTGCCAGTTGCATCATAAGACCATAAGAAAGTGGTGGTGACCTGTACTTAGCTCAGTGAGGATATGACTAAACCAAGATACCCTCCATTAAGCAACTTTACCAGCAGCTTAAAGAGGAATTGAGGGTAGCGAAGCTTGAGATACGGCGATCGATGGAGGAAAACAAGAGGATTCGTAGTAGTCCTCCTGTTGTGAGTTCTCAGGTCAAAAAGGGAACCTGGGCAGTGGCCGGACAGAATGGAACAAAATTGAGGATCAAGAAGGCAAATGGAGAGGAGAAAATGATGGAGAAGAAAGAAACTACTGTGGTAACTTTGAACTCCTTTTCTGTGTTACCAGATGAATGTGAGTCGACCACCCATGATCTTCCAACAAAGACAATTGCTAATGACACAGTGAAGCCAGCCAGTGAAGACATCCCAGCGAAGACCATCTCTACAAAGACCGTCGAGAATGTCACGCACACCGCCAGTCGAGGTAAGAACATTGTTCTAGTTGGGGACAGTCAGATTAAGTTTATGGATAGGGCTTTTTGTCTTAGGGATAGAAATAAGAGGCAGAGGGTGTGTTTTCCAGGGGCTGAGATGAAGGATATTGTTAGCCATCTGGATGACATCATGAGAGGTAATGGGAGCAATCCTATTATCTGTCTCAGTGCTGGAGGCAACAATGTTGGCAGACGTAGGAGTGAGGACCTGATTAGCAGGTATAGGTCAGCAATAGACATAATTAGGAAGAAGGGTGGGAACCCTGTCATATGTGGTATTTTGCCCAGGAGAGGAGTTGGAAATGAATGGTTGTCCAGGGCAATTAGTGTCAACTGCTGGCTAGACAAATACTGTAAGGAAAATGCGGTAACATTCATTGACAACTGGGACCTCTTCTATGGCAGAAATTACATATATGCCAGGGATGTTGTTCACTTATCTAGGTCTGGGGTGGTGGCACTGGTGTAGTGTCTGATATGTGGAAGATGGATAACATAATTCCTATTTTTAAAGCAGGGGACAAGTCGTTACTATCAAATTACCGCCCAATAATGCTAACCTCAATTGTAGGCAAATTACTAGTCAATTATAGCTGATATTATAAGAAGCCATCTCGATAAGCATAGCTTGAGTAATGATACTCAGCATGGATTCACATGGGGCTGTTCCTGCCTAACTAATTTATTAACCTTGTTCAGCAAAGCTTATGAGGTCGTTGATCATGATAAAGCATTCGACATTGTTTATTTAGATTTTAGTAAGGCTTTTGATAGAGTACCGCACCAGAGACTGTTAACCCTTTCAAGGTTGGTGCCGTACTAGTACGGCTTACGCGACAGGGTTGGTGCAGTACTAGTATGCATGAATTCTAGCATCCTCAAATCAAGCAGGGAAAGGCTGGTAGTCCTGGATGTGAGAGAATGGGTCTCCATGGTCAGTGTGCGTGTAAAAAAAAAAAATCGGGGACCTAGTGGTGCATTAACCCCTTGACTGCCACAACCCCCAATCCTGAAGTGTCTCCTGGTGTTGAAAAAAAAACAAAAAAAAAAAAAAAAAACTTTTTCTTATGAAATGATAGAGAATCTTTTCCCGATTGTAATGACACCAAAAGAACAAAATTTGATGGAAAACTGATGGAATTATGCTCTCGTGAAGTTAGCGACCTCGGCGATATTTACAAATTGGCGATTTTGCACACTTTGAGCCCTATTTTCAGCTAATTCTATTGTTCCAGTCGACCAAACTCATAGCTATTTCTTTAGAACTCCATTTTATCTATCGATTGAGTACAAGAAACTGCCCATTTACCGATTTCAACTACCCAACAATATGGTCAGAAATTTGCAATTTGGCCAATTTCACAAAAATTGAAAAATATGACAATTTCAAAATAAGGTCCAGAATGAACAATGCAGACATTCCTGGCTCTAAAATAACATTTTCTTTGTTCATCAGTCATGTCTCCAGGCCCCTCTGATATTACTCTTGCTTTCTATTCTGAATTTTTATTCAAACAAAAAATAGAAGACTTACTATTATGCAGACTACTGCAATACTGTAATAATTGTATAAATAACATTAACCCATTCATGACTGCATACTAGAATGGCTAGTTGGACATTTATTGGACAATGACATCATTTGTTTACTTTTGAGCATTGGCAAAAATCAAATATTTCCCCTATTTTGAGCTCCATTTCCAGGTTCTTTTTATAGTAAAACAAATCAAATTCACCTCTATTTGTATAATATGTTTTCCATTCTATCAAATGAGACCAAGAAAACGAGAATACAACCATAAATACTATACAAAAATAGACCACAAATTCAGCATTTTACTTAAAAAAAAAAAAAATTTTTTTTTTACTCATTATGCACTGCATGCTCCAGGATTTTTTCTATATGGTGCACACTGACCACACAGACCCATTCTCTCACATATGGGCCTACCAGCTTTCTCCTGCTTGATTTGAAGCCACTAGAATTTATGAGTATATATACATCAAACACAGTGGCTCGTAAGACGTATATATACGTCCGAAACAGTCAAAGGGTTAAGGGAAAGCCATTTTATACACCTTGTTCACCATGTCTAGCGGTAAGAAACTTCTCACTCCTCGGCTAATTGGGGCTCTTTTGTTCCCAAGTGACAGTTCAAACACAGATGGAAGTGTCAGTAAAGATGAATATCATGGTTTTGAGGAGTTTGTGACCGAAAGCAATGCCCAGGAAACCAACCTGAAGGAAGGAAGGAAGAAGGAAGGTAGAAGAAAAGGAGGAAAGAAGGAAGAGATGAGAGGAAGGAAGGAAGAGATGAGAGGAAGGAGAGAAGGAAGGAGGGAAGGAAGGAAGGAGGGAAGGAAGGAAGGAGGGAAGGAAGGAAGGAGGGAAGAAAGGAAGGAGACCATCAACCTAGGATAACTCAAAAAATTCAGACAGTGACTTATTTCCATGTGGGTTGGTGGAGTGGTTGGAAGGGATGGGTGTTGACAGGCAGTGAGCGTGGTGAGTGGTTGTGTTATTTGTCAATGTGACACTAATTAGGCCGGTGACTCAGCATATTTACAAGTCCACCCCCACACAACAACTATGAGCTTTACAGAAGCTGTAGCAGCTCTGGGAAGTGTCCAGTGACTTTATATGTGTATATATATTATTGTGACCATGAAGAAGTGGTATTGATCAATAACAAAACCACTGCACTAGCCAAGGACTCGAACCCATGCTGCTTTGGCCTGCCTCATGGTGGGCGAAAACACATGACGCCCTTATCCACTGAACCATATGATCCTTAAGAGTAGGGCATTCAGCACAACTGGATGTGGTACTCCCTACCCAATGAGGCAGGCCAAAGCAGCATGGGTTTGAGTCCTTGGCTAGTGCAGTGTTGTTATTGATCAATACCACTCATTCGTGGTCACAATAATATAAAATACTGCTCGTTGAACTAGTACACCAAACAGGGACTAGAATGAAATTAGCCTAAAGTCATCCACACCATCGTGTGTCCTTGGGTAGGGAGTACCACATCCAGTTCTGCCGGATGCCCTACTCTTAAAGATCGTATGGTTCAGTGAATAAGGGCGTCATGTGTTTTCGTCCACCATGAGGCAGGCCAAAGCAGCATGAGTTCGAGTCCTTGGCTAGTGCAATGTTGTTATTGATCAATACCACTCATTTGTGGTCACAATAATGTAAAATACTGCTCGTTGAACTAGTACACCAAACAGGGACTAAAATGAAATTAGCCTAGAGTCATCGACACCATCGTGTGTCCTTGGGTAGGGAGTACCACATCCAGTTCCGCTGTATGCCCTACTCTTAACCCTTTGACTGTCGCGGCCGTATATATACGTCTTACGAGGTACTGTGTTTGACGTATATATACTCATAAATTCTAGCGGCTTCAAATAAAGCAGGAGAAAGCTGGTAGGCCCACATGTGAGAGAATGGGTCTGTGTGGTCAGTGTGCACCATATAAAAAAAAATCCTGGAGCACGCAGTGCATAATGAGAAAAAAAAAATTCCGACCATTTTTTTTAATTAAAATGCCGACTTTGTGGTCTATTTTCGTGTAGTATTTATGGTTGTATTCTCGTTTTCTTGGTCTCATTTGATAGAATGGAAAGCATATTATACAAATAGAGGTGATTTTGATTGATTTTACTATAAAAAGAACCTGGAAATGGAGCTAAAAATAGGGGAAATGTTTGATTTTTGCCAATGCTCAAAAGTAAACAAATGATGTCA